GGCATGGGAGGGTGGGCTGTGGCAGAGCCGTGTGCCATGTGCTGCCAGCAGGGCTGACACGCGGGGCCGGGGCTGGCTGGGAGGGAGGGAGGGAGCTGCAATCAGGAGCTCTATTGTGGCTCTCGGGCTGCCGGCACAATGCAGCATCAAGAGACAAAGTCAGCTCGGCTCAGTGGGGTGCGGGAGGTGATTTGGGGGAAGGAGAGGCTGGCTCTGACAGGTAGAAGGAGCCTGGAGTGACGGGGGAAAGCCAGACTGATGCCGGCGCCTGCAAACAGTTTCTGGCTCCAAGCCGAGCTGCAGCTCTGGGAGGGTGAGTGAGCTGTGCTGCTCCACTGAGAATATCCCGGGGCGTTCCCAGGAGAGACCTGTCTGCACCAGCCCTGGGGACAGGGATGCACCCAGGCATGAGGCACAGGGGGGTGGATGGACAGACAGACAAACAGGCTGATCTCCAGGGAGAGATTGATCAGGGCAGGGCAGGCACAAGCCCAGGCTGCAGCAGGAAAACCTTTCCATGTGAAGGGAGCTGGTGGGATGCTGGGGCAGCAGCATCATTTGGGGTTTGGGACTCACTTTAAAGCCCCACTCCTCATCACCATCCCTTCTGCAGGTGCCCAGGTGCACCTACCCCAGCCAGGTGAGGCCACCACGAGTCCCAAAGGGCTGTGCTGGTGCCAGTGGGGGCCATCAGGCTCTCGGGAGCCACAAGTGCAGCTTCTCAATGGGGAAAAAAATATTAGTTTGGGGACAGCCTATTTTACTAGCTCAGAGAAGAGGTGAAACACCCTGAGATCTGCCCCAGTGCAGGTGAGATGCTGGAGATGAACTGGGGAATGGGAGGATGGAGATGAACTGGTGGGTTCAGGATGGAGATGAACTGGTGGGTTCAGGATGGAGATGAACTGGTGGGTCAGGATGGAAGTGAACTGGTGGATGTGAGGATGGAGGTGAAGTGAGGACTGTGAGGATGGAGCTGAACTGGTGCATGTGAGGATGGAGGTGAGCTGATGGGTTCAGGGTGGAGATGAGCTGGTGGGTTCAGGATGGAGATGGGCTGGTGGATGTGAGGATGGAGATGAACTGGTGGGTTCAGGATGGAGATGAGCTGGTGGGTTCAGGATGGAGATGAGCTGGTGGGTCAGGATGGAAGTGAACTGGTGGATGTGAGGATGGAGGTGAAGTGAGGACTGTGAGGATGGAGCTGAACTGGTGCATGTGAGGATGGAGGTGAGCTGATGGGTTCAGGGCGGAGATGAGCTGGTGGGTTCAGGATGGAGATGAGCTGGTGGACATGAGGTGGGTTCAGGATGGAGATGAGCTGGTGGGTTCAGGGTGAAGATGAGCTGGTGGGTTCAGGATGGAGATGAACTGGTGGGTCAGGATGGAAGTGAACTGGTGGATGTGAGGATGGAGAGGAACTGGTGGGTTCAGGATGGAGATGAACTGGTGGGTCAGGATGGAAGTGAACTGGTGGATGTGAGGATGGAGATGAGCTGGTGGGTTCAGGATGGAAGTGAACTGGTGGATGTGAGGATGGAGGTGAAGTGAGGACTGTGAGGATGGAGCTGAACTGGTGCATGTGAGGATGGAGGTGAGCTGGTGGCCTCTCCCCAGCTGAGACATTTTCTGCTCCGTCATCCTGAGTTTTCTGCTCTGTTTTGCCAGACTGTTCCGGGGAAGGCGGCTGAGCCACGCCGCGCGTTCTCCCAATGCCATCTAGTGTCAGCTCCGGCAGCCCCGGAGTTATTTTAAGGCATCAGCGCTGATTTATTGCAGAAGGATCTTTGAGGGCCAACAGGCTGCCCAGGCTGGTTATTAACAGCAGCACGGATAACTAACGGATGGGTGCGCAGGCTGGGTTGGATTATTTTTATTATCGCTGCTGTTTCGCACTAAAAACCCACCCTGGCAGGATGGAGTGCGAGGATTCAGTGCCGCGTCCGAGGTGATTAAAGTCTTTCAGCCTTCAGACTCTTGTCTTGTAGCCCCGCCATCACCTGAGGCTTAATCACTCAGAAAAGTGCTGTCATGTCCTATTGTCGCCGTATTGGGAGCGCGACCTCTTTCCCGTTTAGCTGCCATCTGAAAAGAATGTAACTTGCCAGGAGACAGGAGTGACTCAGGAGAATGGTGATGGGATATAAAGACTTTGACCTGCGGGCCGCCCATTTGGAGGCTGCCAAGGTCAGTGGCAAGGGCGACTTTTCTCGGTGATTATTTGGCCAAACAACCCAAAACGGGCAGTAATGGGTCTGTCCGTGACAGGCAGCGCTGGGCTGGACTCTGCTCCTGCCGTGAGGGATCAAGCCCCCAGCCCTCCCTGCCTGGGGTTTGGGGCTGTGTGACTGCCCGCGGTCCCCTCCCGCTCAGGAATTTGTCCTCCACATCTTCCCCTTGCCACCATCACAGGGCCATGGGCTGCACAGGCTGAGAACTCTCTCATTTCTGCCTTTTTAGGGGTAAAGAGCCTCAGCAGCATCTCCCGTGTCCCATTCATCGGCCTGTCAGTGCAGGGGAAGGTTTCAGATGTGCCCTGTCCCCTGCTCGTGTGTCCCCTGCTCTGCTCACCACCATCACCTGCCATGATTTAGGTCCCTGCTAACCTCATCCTCATCCTCAGCCACTGCTGACCATGTCAATTTATCTCCTTGGCTGCAAACCACCTCATCGAGGCAGTTTGAGTGGGTGATTAATTAAGGTCTCCCTAGAAATGAGGTTACTCCCTGCAGCCTCACATATAAATGTAAGATTAATGGGTGCTGGCCCTGTTAGACGGCCACCACCAGGCAGGGCCAGGGAGGGTTTGCCTGCTCCCATCCACACACTCCTTGAACAGACATTTTCCATGAAAGAACTTCCAAACAATGCCGTGGGATGGGGAAATGCAGCTGGCAGGGCAGTGGGGAGCCAGGGGGCTGAGGAAAGGGGGTCCCGGCGCTGAGCCAGGCACTGAGCAGAAGCAGCAGCCAGCGATGTTCACAGACTCACCCCTCCTGGAGGCTGAGCCAACATCCAGCCTGCTCTGGGTGTTTAATTTTCACTAATCTGTTTGGGGTTTTTTAATTATCTGCAAACAAGGTGCCTTCTTCATGGAATAACAATGCTGGGGACAGTGGGCGGCGGGGCTATGCCCACACCCCTTCCCTGCCGCTCAGCACCGCTCCGGAACTCTGCCCAGGACTTGTTTATCTGTCCCTATCCATCATCAATCCCGGGATTCCGCCCTGCTAACCAGCATCTGCATCTGCATCTCCGACAGCAGGAGCGAGTCCTGCTCAGCTGGTGTGTAAAAGCCTTCGCAATCACCCTGTGCTACGGAGCTGGAGGAGGGTTTAAATACAAGGCTCTTTAATAAGATGAAAAGAGCCCTTTCTTTCCCCACTGGTTTTCTGCTTGCTCTTTCATGCTGCCGGAGCCCTCGGGTTGTGTCAGGGCCTGCCTCTCTGTGGGCTGACAGGTTTCCTAACTCCCCTCCCTGCACTGTCAGCACAGCATCAGGAACAGCAAATACCAGTTGCAGCAGCTGGAGGAGGAGGAAGGCCAAGTCGGAGCAGTCCCTGGCCTCGCGTGGTCGGGTTTTTTCCTCCAAAACACCCTCAGTGGCACCGGTGACCTGCAGAAAACCCTGTGCCTCACTGTGTGCAGCAGGAAAATGGGTCTAATCCCGTTTACCCGTCTCCTCCAGAGCTGGCTGCAGTGTTTGATTCATGTCAGCGGCTTGGCTGGTGACTGCGGGATGAATGACGCTATATAAATGCAAAGTGTTATTAATATTTCATGTTGTAGTGAAAATGTACTAATGGGGCTTGTTCCTGGAAGATAAAGTGCTGCCATTAATACACCTTTGTGTCCCCTGCTCTGGGGACTCACCTGTGGAGGGATGGAGGGGCTCTACCAGAGCAGAAACTGCCCATCACACCTGGCAGCTCCCCAAAAGAGGGGATTTTAACCCAGAAAGACACAAAGAGCCACTTCTGACACCCACAAAACTAGGGGTGCCAGGGGCAGAACATCCCCCCACCCACCACTGGGTGCTGGTGGATGGGTGCTGCTCTGGGTCCTCCCTGCCTGCCCGTGGGGGCCACAGCCCCTGGGAACCCCCTCCTCAGCACAGCCACTACACAGGCATGTTAAAAAAAAAAATAAAAATGGGCTTGTTTGATTTCAAACTGCAGAACTCTTCCCTGGAGCCATCCGCAAACACTGGTAATTTACTTTACAGCTGTTTAGATTTGTTTCTCTACATTTTTTTTTAAACCCCAGCAGAATTGCAAATGAAATGTGTGTTTGCTCCTCAAATGACTCCAGCCCTACCTGAACTCCTGCACCCCACACCTCCTTGGACTCCCTCCCTTGTGACCCCCATCCCTGCACCCCACAGCTGTGAGATGAGGGTCAGACCTCCAAGAGGGGATTCTCTGAGCTGAGGGTTCATCTTGGGAGGGCTCCAGATTCTGATATCAAGGAGGGGTGATGGGGAAGAGATTTGTGCCAGCTTGCAGGTGAGGGGGGCACAGGCAAGGAGTTAATTAATTGCCAGTGAAATTATCAACTGCCACCCATTTAATAGAGGGCGACAAGGGATAAAGTAAAGGCTCTGCTAAATTATTGCCATGGTGCAAAGTTTCAATAAAAAAGGATTATAAAGAGTGGTGTTCGGTGCTGTAGGTGGGGCCTCCCAGGGCTTCGGCCACTTTGCAGCGAGGGGATGGGTGCAGGGAAGGCATGGAGCGACCCCAGGTAGTGCTGAACATCCCTGCAGAAGCTGAGGACAGACAGCCCTGAGCTCCCACCCCTCCCCACGGCGAAGAGCCGGCTCAGCCCTTCCCGGCACGGCACGGCAGCGCTGCGGGGCCGCCCCTCGCCTCGGGAAATCTGGCATTCCATGGGACACGTGGGGATCCGCCTGGAGCCTCATCCCTTCCCCCGGGAATCTCCTCCTCGCTCCCAGGAGCGCGGGGGTGACTCATGTGCCGTCTCTTGTGCCGGGCGATGCGCTCCTGCCCTGGGCAGGCGCCGACCTGCAGCAGCGCCGCCGAGGGACACCCGCAGGTGAGCGGCCTGGGGACCCCTTCTGCGGCGACCCCCGGCCCCGAGGAGGTGGGGAGGGCGCTGGGGAAGTGCGTCTGCCCAGCCTGGCAGCAGGGCGATGGGCACGGCCTGCGCTGCTGCCGGCAGCGTGCACAGGGAAGGAGGAATTTGGGGTTTGCGTGTTCCTCCAGGGAGCTGCCGGAGAACCGGGAGCGTCCGTGGCCACTCCAGTCCTGCGGGTGGGTGCATTGGCTCAGCAGTGCAGAGCAAGGGATGCGTTCACCCCTCGGCGAGGGGGAATCTTGTAATTTCACTTATTTAAGGAGAGCCAGCACCAAACGCAGCCCTGGGAGTCTTTGCTGCAGCTCCAGGAGCACGAGGTGCGTTTATCCGGCACGGTGCGAGCCGGGCTCAAAGCGACCTCGCAGGTGCCTGGGTTTGGTGAAAATCGGTTGTTTTGGATGCCCGGCCGTGGGCAGCCCCTCGGCTTTGCAGCTTTTCCCCAGCCCAGCCGCTGCCTGTGCCCTGCCGTGGGCTCCCCGCTGCGTGGGCACTCCGTGGGGACACGGAGCGGTGGCACCGGGCTCCTCCTGCGCTGCCCGGGGGAGCACGGAGGCGACGGCAGATTCCAGCGGTGGGAGAGGACGCGGCAGCTCCTATTTGTTGTCTGCCTGGGCCAGGCCTGGCAACGTAAGGGAAATGAATAACAAATACCTGAGCAACGAGGCGGGAGCTGGGGCGGGATGGGGCCTGAGCAGTGCACCGGAGGTGGCTGGAGGATGCTGTGGCTGGGGCAGAAACCCCGAGTGTTGTCAGGTGCCCAGAGTGCAGGACGGTGCTTGGAGGAGAAGTGTCACCCGGAGCAGGTCTGTGCTATCAGTGGTGTCCCTGAGTGCCAGCACAGGTCAGAGATGGCCCCAGGAGCACGGCTCAGTGCTTTGAGGCACACAGGGGCTCCAATGGGGACCTTTTGCTTCTGCTTCAGTGTCACAGCGTCTTCTCTCTTCCCAGGCTGGCTAACAGGATCGGGGAGCCATGAACTGGGGGGCGTTTGAGGGGCTCCTCCGCGCTGTCAATGTCTACTCCACAGCCTTCGGCCGCATCTGGCTCTCCCTCGTCTTCATCTTCCGCCTGCTGGTCTACCTGGTGGCGGCCGAGAAGGTCTGGAGCGACGACCACAAGGACTTCGATTGCAACACGCGGCAGCCGGGCTGCACCAACGTGTGCTATGACCACTTCTTCCCCATCTCCCACATCCGCCTCTGGGCCCTGCAGCTCATCCTGGTGACGTGTCCGTCCCTCCTGGTCCTCATGCACGTGGCCTACCGGGAGGCCAAGGAGGAGAGGCTGCGTGAGATCCAAGGGGACAATTATCGCTGCAAATACCCCAACCCCGGCAAGAAGCGGGGCGGGCTCTGGTGGACGTACCTGCTCAGCCTCATCTTCAAGGCCAGCGTGGACGTGGTTTTCCTCTACATCTTCTTCCGCCTCTACAGGAACTACACCCTGCCCCGGGTGGTGAAGTGCGAGCTGCCGCCCTGCCCCAACGTGGTGGACTGCTTCATCTCCCGGCCCACCGAGAAGAACATCTTCACCCTCTTCATGGTGGTCACCACCTGCGTCTGCGTGGTGCTGAACCTCATCGAGGCCACCTACCTGATCGGGAAGAGGTGCCACGAGCGCCTGGAGGCCGGAGGAGGGGACAGCCAGCAGCACAGCCACGACTGCCCCGTCTCCTGTGCCAACCCCGTGGGCACGGGCGGGCAGGTGTTCCATGGGGCTGACTACAAACCCCCCACAGCCACCATCCCGCTCACGGCCTCCTGCCCCAGCACGCTCTCCGAGGTTGAGGCTCCTTCCTAGAGCTGCCCAGGAGAACACAGGAGCTGCTCACCTGGCCTGCAACTTCCTGGCTGCTCTTCCTCTGCTGTGCTCCAGTGCAGGAGCGCTGAGGGTGGCAGCACCCTGGAGCTGGGCTGTGCCTGAGGGGTCTCTGACTCTCCTGTGCTGGGAAAAGCACTTTACATCATCCTGCTGAATTTGGGGTAAAGCTGGGGATGTAGAACACGTTCTGTGGCACTGACAGGGAGCAGTGGTTCCATGGCAGCTGTGAACTGACAGTGGTGCCCAGACTCTGAGCCTGTACCAGCCAGGACAGACACCCTGATCCCCCAGGAAACCCCTCTTCCTATCTCTCACCCTACATCAGCCACTCAGTGGGTGTCAGGGCCACCTCAGACTGATGCAATTGTCATTAATAACACTCATTAGTTGAGTGGGGGCAAGAGCAGGTCCCTGGTGTCGCAGCCACCGCGGCGAAGCGCAGGCGTGAGGATCCGGCCAGGCAGGCAGAGCCCGCTGTGAGCTGCTGGATCATCCTGCCTGGCCAGGGCAAAACACCTGAGCAAAACAGCCGAACACAGGAGAGGAAAACACCCCAAGCATTGATTAAACAATAACATTAAATGGCAGAATCTGATCTCTTTCGTTGTTGTAATCCATCGCGTTCGGCCGTGACACGGGCGGTGCTGCCACTTCCGAGGCCATCAGAGGCAGCTGGCATGAATAATTAACAATAATTTCATGGCAAATGCATTCACAAGAAAAATTTACATTGAACATGCAGCTCGATCTGTTACTGGTTTTGCTTTACTCGGAGGGTGTGATAATTATTTTTTCCATGAGCAGTGACAGTGCCAGCGCTCCCTGGCTCTGTCCCAAAGGAAGTGGCACAGGGGGCGAGGGAACACCATCGCTGTGTCCTTTATGTGACTGAGGACGTTCTCAGTGACAGATCATTGCAGTGATCCAGCTGAGACCTTCCATGGGCAAAACTGAGCTCTTTTCCCACAGCTGGATGGGAGGCTGAGGGGCTGCTGTGCCCTGGGGGATGCTGGGGACAGGCAGGGCTGAAGGGAAGCAAGAGCAGGTGGGGCTGCAGCACTGCTGGATGGGAGGGCAGGGACTGAACCAGCCACTGGTGGGGGTGAGGGTGGTGGAGAAGCCCTGGGGGGATCCTGGTCAGTACTGAGCCCTCTGAGCCCACAGCAGCTCCTTGAGTTTGGGGACTTTTGGGGTCAGAGACACAGATGATGAAATACACACAGAATTTTTTCCACTTCTCAGAGGAAGTTGTGCTGGCACTGCCTTCCTTCCATCCGCTCCTGCTGCTGGATTATCCACCTGAAAGTTTTCTTTATGAAGTGCATAACGTCAAAGGACACAAGTTGTTCTTTGTGTGCGAGCCATTGCCCCGAATTAAAGAGCATGGGCTGGGCTGTTTGTTTTCCAGCAAGGTTGGCCACTCCTGCTCCAGGCTGGAGAGTGAAAGCCCAAGGAGTTCCCCTCTGCAGGCACTAATGGGGACAGAGATGAGCCCCAGAAAAACCACCCTGTCCCACCTCTGCACACCAAAGCACAGCTGGAGCTGCTGCCCATTGAGAGACACCTGAAGATCCAGCTGCTGGATGTTGTTGTGCTGTTTTGTCTTGCTCAGAGCAAACATTGCAGAGCTCTGGGTCTCTTGCGCCATCCAGGCTTGGGATAAGCAGCAGTCAGCCAGAAAAACAGGAGCATTTGGCTGCTTCTTTTGATACTGGTGCTGCAAAAACAGGGGTCTGGATACTGGGATATCTCCTGGAATGCAGAGGCAGGACCAGAGTCAGCAAACCAGGGGGGTGTGTCACAATAAAACCTGAATATTTCCCAGAGTCTGCATCCTCACACAGGAAATTCCCTGTATTTGCTTGTGAGGTCCCAGAAGACCTCCTAAATTTTGGGGTGAGGGGATTTTAAAGAAACTCACCACCAACTCCAGCCCAGGCAGGGATGTGGAGCGGATTGCATGAACAGGTCAGGGGTAAATTTGCCTTCCCAGCTTGGGTTCGTTTCTGCCCTGGCCAAAACCCGCCTGTTTGCTGGGAATTGAGGAGAATCTCTCTGATTTATGTCCAGCCCTGGCTGCCAGCTCCCAGGACCCCATGACTCCTCTGCCCCTGCTCTTGCGGGGGAGTCTCATCCCTGGGGATGTGGCCCTGGAGGGGGACAGCTGTTGGCAGGCAGAATCCTGCCATGCTCCGTTTAAGACCCTTCTAAAAAGGCTTTTAGGTTTGAGGTTTTCCTGCTGGTTTGGCGTCTGCCAGCTCCACAGTTTGGGTTTTTCCTTTATGGAGGAGCCAAGGTTGGGCCTCCCTAAGGTGGGTGTTTCAGTGCTCACATCTGGCACTGAGGCCTCTCAGCTGTCACCCTGCTGTGTGGGAGCAGGGTGGCACCAGGGTGACCCGTCCTGGGCATACCCCTGAAGCTCCCCAAGTGCTGAGATCTGCAGAACCACGCTGGCACCTTGTCCCTGTGCCCCCATTACCATCCCTCTGCCAGTGTGGGCGCAGGGATGTGCCCCTTGATGGATTTATGGATTTACCCAAACACCCAGCTCAGCATTTCAAACACTGCAAAGCATGGGCTGTTTCTGCTCCCCACGCAACTGCCTGAGGGAGATCTTCTGCCCATACCAAATGCACCTGAACTTTCTCACCGTGACCACAGGGCTGCTCCAGAAATTCCAAAACTGCAGGCAAGAGGCTGCCCAGGGGGATCTGGCCCCACTCTTCACCTGGCCCTTACAGGGTTTGGCCGTGGGGCAGGGAGCAGCTGCTTCTGCAAGGAATCAGAGCTGACAGCGCTTCCCAACAGCTTCCCTTTCTCCAGGGCTTCTCACCTCACAGGCCACAGCCCCCAGATTCCTGCAGAGCTCCTGCCACACCAGCTCTCTGCATCAACATAGCTCAAATTCCTGATCCGGGCAGCTCCGGGGTGAAGGAAGGTTTCGGAGCCCCTGCTTGGCTCTCATCCGGGATTGGGGTGCCTGTGGCTGTCCCCTCCTCCAGGCCCCAGGTTCTGCACCCCCAGGTTCCCACCAGGGTGTGCTTTGGGTCTCCTGGGCTCCCATTCCATTGTCCCCAGCCTGGCAAACCCTCACTGGCTTTGTTTGACCTCCTGGAGACAAAAAGCCTCCGGGCAAGTGGCTCCTTGTCTGCCAGAAGAGCAGGGAGCAAATCTCTGCAGGCACCAAGCACCCCGGGGCTCTTCAGACGTGTCCCCATGGGAGGGGTGGCCCTGGCCAGGTGCCGAGGTGGCTCCAGCACGGCTGATCGGCCCCAGGGTGTGCCGGAGGATTCCAGGGAATCCTCGGGACACTCTAGAAACCAGGTGAGGAAGGGAAGCGCATTCCTGCCCGGGCTACATCGGCACCTATCGCGGCTGATCCATGGGACATCCGGTGGGATGGGCTGACGCAGCCTCCTGGAAGCTCTAGGGAGGGGGACAGCCCCCTTAGGGACACCTCGAGGGTCCCATGGGGCGCGGCATGAGGCAGCAGCAGAGCAGGGTCCGGCTGCACGGGGACCCTGGTGCCACTTGCTCTGTGGGAAAGGTCCCATCTGGCCACACCGGCCCCGCCAGGGCGGTGCCTGCAAGTTCCCGTAGGTTGGAGATACCGATGAGCTGTTGCAAAACTATTACTAAGGCAAAATCATTTCAAAAGTGGGTTGCAATTGCGTAATCCGGGACTCTCGGCAGTGCTTGCTGGTGGGCCCACGGCTGGGGCACGGTGCTGGCTCCGCAGCGCCCGGACCATCCCTGCAGGGGATGGGACATCACCTGGAAGGAGCTGCTGGTGTTTCCTGCGGAGGAATGTGCCTGTGCTGATCTCCCTGCGGGATTTGACCTGCCTTTTGTTGTTCAAGCCGAGCGTGTGTGTGCATGTGCGCGGCAAGAACGTCTCCAGGAGCTGTTTGCCAGACTCACCCAGTTACTGGGAACCAAACCAACCACCCTTCCCCTCCCCTCGCACGCTCAGACAAACCCTGCGTGTGCAGGAGGGCTGAGGCTGGGAAGGAGCTTCCCCGATCCCATCCGGACACCTTCCTCTGGCTCTCCCACCTGGACAGGTACCTGCCGGGGCACAGGGTACTCTGGGGCTGCCAGGGTTGAGGGGGGACAGCCCCGGGGGGTAACGGGGGGCAGGTGGGAGTTGTGTTAAGGTGTAAGGGGTGCAGGTGGGACCTGGGGCTGCTGTGACTGTGGGCTCAGAGGTGGGGACCCCAACATCACACAGTGCCACGTCAGGCCCCCAAAGGCCGTGCCCGGGTCCCCATCCCATGGGGTGATACAGGGGGATGGCACAGCGTGGCACCCCGAGGAGCAGCAATGCCCTCCCCAGGCCTTGCACCTCTGTCCCACGCCCAAAAGAGGCAGAGACCCCCTGAGAAAAGTGGTTCTGCTGAGTTTGCAGCCTGGCTGGGAGCAGGGCGCTGTCGGGTCCAACGCCCTGCGCCCACACGGGGCAGGACGTGGCCGTGACGCAGTGGGTTGGCATCCTGGGGGCTGGCAAAGGTGCCGGGCTCTGCGGGAGGCAAACGGGCACTGCCGGCACAGCTGAGCACACCTGAGCACTGCCCCTGCTCTGCCTGGCTGCCATCCAGCCCTGGGGAGCCCCTGGGGGCTCACAGAGTGCTGCACACACCCGCTGCCACGGGGATTGGCACAGAGCTTGGCACGGAGATCACGTCCCCTTCCTGCCCCACTGTGGGTCCATGACTGGAGCCAGCGCTGGGCTGATCCGGGCACGCAGGTGCTGGGCAGGTGGGTTATGGGCAGGTGGGTGCTGGGGTGGTCTCACTGGCACCAGGGATGGGATCGTGGGTGAATTAGCTGGCACTGGGGGCATGCAGAGTCTCCAGGTTCCATCAGCACCAGTTTTCAGGGGCAAAACAGCAGCTCTCCCAGTTTTAAATCCAAGGGTTGGGTGGGAACACAGTGATTGCTCCCCACCCTGACTCCCAGCCGAGGGTTTGCCAGGGAGGAAGATCTGGTTTCAGATGGGGTGGCGAGTGAAGGTGTGTGGGCATGGGGAGAGGCACAGCCCTGGCACTTGGCACACACTGCCAGGGACCCCATCCTGGGGCCACTCAGCCCAGCCACCCTTCCCGGTGCGTCCCCGGGCCAGAAGTGTGGGAGCACAGCCACAGATTTGGGGCTTGCTGTGGGTGGCCCTGGCCAAGGACAGGCTCCCAGAGTGTTCCATGGGCTCTGGGCAGTGCTGCAGGTTCTGTTCCACTCCACAGCCCTGGGACACCACAGTGCACTGGATGAGAGGACCCTGATCACCAGTCTGCCATCGTGCCCTGGCTATGCCCTGTGCTGGACACTTCCCACCCCACAGCCCCCGGTGAGCGGGGAAGGAGCCTGAGCCTCCTCCAGGTACGTCTCAGAAGGCACTGGGTGGGCAACAGGCAGCTGCAATTCCTTAAAGTGGGAGCAATCCGGTGTCCTGTGAATCCTTTTGCCAGAGCAGACACCTTCACAGCCCAGAGGGTTGTAAAAACCACCTGGGTTTGTAAATCCAGGTGCAGTAAAGCTCCGGGTCAGGCTTAGCATGTCTCCCTCCTCACACAGGGCAGCCCCAGGCTGAGCTGCAGAGCCGGTTTGGCCGTCGGCACCTCCGGCGTTGCTGCCGGAGCAGGAGCAGAGCACTGGCCAGGGTGAAGTGCTGGTGACATGCTGCTGACACACACAGACTGTGACACACACGGGCTCTCACTTTCTGCAGCCCCACTGCCGCCTGTGTTTGGGCTACCTCAGGTATCACCTGTGAGACAGAAAACAGGTCCCTGGCATGTCCCAGCACCCCAACCCTGCAGGAGCAGCCATTTCCCCTTTGGCTGGTGATCCTGGCCCGCTCCAGCAGATCGTGCTGCACCAGCTCTCACAATCAGGCACAGAGCTGGTGGCAGGGACTTGGCCAGGTGGCTCATCCCTGACAGCTCTGTCAGAAGGAAGTGCAGAGAGATTGAGTCACCTCTGTCACCAGAAGTGTGTGAGGATGGGCTTTACTGTCTGCAAGGGTGAAGAGCCCCCACCCTAGATGAGTGTAATGTGGTGGGGGAGGGGGTTCAGGGGTCAGTGAGAGTTAGTGGAGCAAGAGATGTGCAGCCCGTGGTGTCCCCATTGCTCCTTCCACCTCTCCAGGTTGGGTGACTCTGGTCTCCCTCAGCTGCCATGGATTGGAAAACGCTGCAGGCGCTGCTCAGCGGGGTCAACAAGTACTCCACAGCCTTCAGCCGCATCTGGCTCTCCATGGTCTTTGTCTTCCGTGTGCTGGTCTACGTGGTGGCGGCCGAGAAGGTCTGGGGTGACGAGCAGAAGGACTTTGACTGCAACACGCGGCAGCCGGGCTGCACCAACGTGTGCTATGACCACTTCTTCCCCATCTCCCACATCCGCCTCTGGGCCCTGCAGCTCATCTTTGTCACTTGTCCTTCCCTCCTGGTCATCATGCACGTGGCCTACAGGGAGGACCGCGAGAGGAAGAACCGGGAGAAGAATGGAGAGAATTGCCCCAAGCTCTACAGCAACACAGGCAAGAAGCACGGCGGGCTGTGGTGGACCTACCTGTTCAGCCTCTTCTTCAAGCTTGTCATAGAAATCCTGTTCCTCTACCTCCTCCACAAGATGTGGGACAGCTTCGATTTGCCACGGCTGGTCAAGTGCTCCAACGTGGATCCCTGTCCCAACACCGTGGACTGCTACATCGCTCGGCCAACCGAGAAAAGGGTCTTCACCTATTTCATGGTCGGAGCCTCCTCCATCTGCATCGTCCTCACTGTCTGTGAGATCTTCTACCTCATCTTCAAGCGAGTTGTGCAGAGGACAAGGAAGTGGAGGAAATCCACCAAGCGCTCCGTCAGCTACAGCAAGGCCTCCACCTGCCACTGCCACGTCAAATCAGAGGAGAAGGACAACAAGTCCCAGCCTAGGTGTGTGGCAGCCCTGACTGCTCTGTGAGGGGTACTGGGAAGGGTGGTGGGGGAAGAACTGTCCTGGTATGTGCCAGGGATGGTTGGCACCACGGGTGACCACCAGTGGTGCCAGCACCAGACTCTTCAACCAGGATCTTGATGGCTGTAAGGGGAGGGGGACACATCCATGAGAACTCTCCTGCTTGGGACCATGGGCACATCCCTGGGCGTCCCAGTGGTGTGGACACGCTCAGTGGCAGGTGGGTGCTGGCTGTCCATGGCCATGCCTGAGTGTGTGTGTTCTTCCCACAGAGGAGAAGAGCTGTGAGCTCACCCACCCCAGACGGTTCACATTCCCCTCAACTTGGCTTTTCCAGCCTGGCAAATCCCTGAACCCTCAAGAGTCGACCCGTGTGAAAAATGACTAAACCCAACAAAGTAATGTCCCTGGAGAGAGACCCACGGGTGCCTGAGCAGACACAGGTAAGGCAAGGGCAGCCCTGGAGCTCTGCAGGTGGCAGTGCCACAAGCATGGACGTCACAGCAGCACACAGATCCTCCGAGTCCAGCAGCTTCTCTTGGGTCCTACAGCTCTGCTGCTCCCACGCTGGGTGTGAGTGCCCCCAGCTGGTGCCCAGCCAGGGCTGGTGTCACCCAGTGCGTGCCAGTCCTCCCAGCTCACTGTGCCTCACACATGCACTGCTTTCTTTTGTACCAAGAAACCAAAGGAATTCTGGGCTCTGTGGCCAGAGCTCTCTTCATGCACCCAAAGTAATGACAGAGGACCGGGGCTCCAGTCTGTTGGCAACTGTTCTGCTGGCCCAGTTTGCCCAGTTTGCTATTTCTCCCCCTTGGCTCACACAAGCACCAAGCCATGTTTTGCCCAATAGCCCTTGCTGGCTCTGCTGCTTCCCTTGGTGCCTCTGTGTCCCCCCTCACCTCAGATGCACATCACACACGGCACACGCTATGGATCCAAAAGTCCAATAAATGTCGTGTTTGGAGACACCGAGATCTGCTCTGCACGCTGGAAATTGGGGGACTGGTGAGGGCAGAAGACATGGATCTGCAGAGGTTCCTCAGGAGCCCACAGCCAGGTCCTTCTCCGCCTGAGCGGGGCATTGGTCGAGCCCACAGCCGAACTCACGTCCGCCCGTTCCGCCTCTCCCAGCTTGTCACGCGTCGTTAAACTTTAATTCAGCAGAACCTCACGCTGGCCCCCAAGGAAATCAAGGAGGGATGAGCATCAATTATTTACTAAACCTTGATAAATATTACAATAAATAGAAATGATTTCCATTTAATCTCTCCTTAAGCAGCACTAGCGGAGGGTCGGCTGTTCCCAGCTCCGCTCGGCATTTCACAGCCCCACGAGCGTGTCGGGGTGTGCTGAGACCCCGACAGCAAAGCTCCGTCTGGAACCTCCGCGGGAGTTCCCGGCCGAGCTCCGGTGGGGTTTATCCCGAGAACCGACGGGACGCGGGATCGCAACTGGGATCCGGTGGGGCTCAGCCCGGGAGCCTGCGGGATGCGGGATGGGGGCCAGGAACCGGTGGGGTTCATCCCGAGAACCGGCGGGGCCCATCCCGAGAACCGGCGGGATGCGGGACCGCAGCCGGGCTCCGGTGAGGCTCCAGCACCACCCAGCGCCCGCAGCACCGCACGGACCCTCGGGGGCAAACCACGAGCGCCGCAGCCGCGGTCCGGCCGGGGCGGGCAAGGACGGAACACCCCCGGGACCCCGGGCGGGGAACGGAGCATCCCGGGATCTCTGGCTCAGCGGGTTTTCCCAGTAGCGGACCCACAGCCGTAATGAGAGCGCTGGAGGCACCCGGGCTTCCCACCGTTCTCCCCCAGCTTCGGCCCCGACGGGTCCGGCCGCCCCCGCCCCGCCCGCCGGGGCCGCCCCCTGGTCCGGGGGCCGCGGGAGGGGGCGGCCCCGCACACCTGCAGCTCGGGCCGGCCCGGTGCTAAGCCCCGGCCCCCTGTTTCCTGCCCACGCTCCTCCTCCGGCTTCCCCGGGCCCCGAATAAGCGGAGCCACCCGGCCCGACCCCTCACACCCAGCGCGGCCCGAGCCCGGCGGGACGTGCCCGGCGCGGCGGAGGTGAGTGCGGGCAGCCGGGACCGCCGGGACACCGCGACCGCTCGGGGACACCGTGCTGGGGACGGGGCACCCCACCGCTGCCAGGGATTCCTTTAACGGCACAGCCGTTAATTCTCCGCTTAATTAGCAGCGGTTAATGAGGAGCCGGGGCTGCGGTCGCCCTGTCCCTCCCTCAGAGCCGGGCTGAGTGCCCGCGGGGTGAGGTCTTGGCTCCCCAGAATCCTGGGAGCGGCAACAGGGTGGTGAGCGGTGCTGGGGATCCCCTGGCGATGGGAGGGGACTGGGGCTGGGAGTCCATCGCCCTGCAGCAAGGGAGCTGGAGGGGGGCTGTCAGTTCAATTTGGGGTGAGCCCTGAATAGGCATCGGGGTGGCAGCTGTACCCCAAGGGGTTGTGCTTCCCCTCTAGACTATCCTGTTCTCTGCTTTTTGGGAAAGCCAGGACAGCAGCAAATTTGTGAGCCCCCACAGTGCCTCCTCTCCAGGTGCCCTGAGCTCCCTGGGCAGCCCCAAAACGCCCCTGGCTGCGGGCTGTCCCTGGAGTGGCCAGGAGAGCCACGAGCTGTGGGTGCTGCTGGGAGGGGAGAATTCCCATCTCTCCCAGCTCCCTGTGTAGGAGGAGCCCTCTGGGGCTCCTAAACGCTGCCTGGAACCCTCCCTCCCTCCCTCAGAAGTGGGATGTTCCTCAGAGGGTTTGCTGGGACACTCTGCAGAGCAGCTATATCCTGAAAAAGCAGGGTTTAGGTGGTCACATCTGCCCTGTGCTCCCCAGCATGGAAGCAGGGCACTGACGTGGCTGCTGTCTTCTCTCTGCTGACAGAGGCAAAGGGTTCCTAGAAGATGGGTGACTGGGAATTCCTGCAGAAACTGCTGGACCAAGTCCAGGAGCATTCGACCGTGATCGGGAAGATCTGGCTCACTGTGCTCTTCATCTTCCGCATCCTCATCCTGGGCCTGGCCGGGGAGTCTGTGTGGGGGGACGAGCAGTCGGATTTCGTGTGTAACACCAAGCAGCCAGGCTGCACCAACGTCTGCTATGACAAAGCCTTCCCCATCTCCCACATCCGCTACTGGGTGCTCCAGTTCCTCTTTGTCAGCACCCCGACCCTGATTTACCTGGGCCACGTCGTCTATCTCTCCCGCAAAGAGGAGAAGCTGAAGAAGCAGGAGAGCGAGCTTCGGGCTGTCCACAGCAAGGACCCGAAGATCGAGCAGGCCCTGGCAGCCCTGGAGAAGAAGATGTCCAAGATCTACATGACAGAGAGCGGGCGGCTCAAGATCCGAGGGGCGCTGATGTGGACGTACATCACCAGCGTCATCTGCAAGAGCATCTTTGAGGCCGGGTTCCTCGTGGGCCAGTGGTACCTGTATGGCTTCTCCATGGTGCCCCGCTACGTGTGCAAGAGGGACCCCTGTCCCCATCAGGTGGACTGCTTCATCTCCCGCCCCACCGAGAAGAGCATCTTCATCATCTTCATGCTGGTGATGGGCCTGATCTCCTTAATCCTGAACCTCCTGGAGCTCTTCCACCTCTGCTGCAAGAACCTGCTTAGCAACATCAAGAAGGTGTCGGGGCCAGCTGGGCCGAGCCAGGACACCTTTGTGGATGACATGGTCTCCAGTCCCTACGCACCCAAGCACTACCCCTTCCTGCCCATGGCCGAGAGCCACGCGCCCTCCTACCAGACCTACAACAAGCTGTCCAGCGAGCAGAACTGGGCCAACTACCGCAACGAGGAGAACCTGGCACTGGGCAGTGGCAGCAGGCCCCTGTCGGACCCCTACGCCCCCGGGCTTGCTGAAGCCTCCGCCCCGGAGGAGAAGCCGGGCAGCCGGCCCGGGAGCTCAGCCTCCAAAAAGCAATACGTGTAGAGCCGGGCTGGCCCCGGCTGGCAGGGGGACATTCCTCAGTCCCTTGTGCCTGCAAAGGTGCTGGCTGTGGGCAGGCAGCTGCCTCCTGCCTGGTTCTGTGCTGTACACATTCCCCTCTGGAGGCTCCAGAGACCTGCCCGCTCTGGGATGGGATGCTCGGGAGCACGGCTGTGGAGCTCTCGCCGGTTTTCCCCACAGACCCTGCAAGGAAGGAAACTGCACGAAGTTCCCCGGGACACCGTGTCCTGTGTGCCTTGCCGTGGGAAAGGGAGAAAGCTCTGGAGCCACGCCGTGGAACAGGCTGTCCCCGAGGCCATGGCTGCAGGCTGCTGGCCATTGGGAGCTGCAGTTCAGCCAGACCCCAGAGCCTCGGCCACCATGGGAGCCAGGAGTGTAGCCGTGGGAAGCTGCTCTTCTCCAGCCTCCACATGGAGCAGGCTGAGCCGGGGACTGCCGGGAAAAGCTGGGCTGGAGCAACGCTGACTGATCCTGGCCACCAGCCCCATCCCGTTCCAGTGGCCCTGGCACCTGCCCAGGGTTTGCTGCAGAAGCTGCCCCCTCCCCAAGGGACACAGAGGGGTTAAGCCAGCTCTGTTGTCACCAATGGCTGCAGGGTCACTGTGGGTGACCCAGGAGTGTGAGTCCCTCCCCTCCCAGCCCTGGGCTCTTTCCCATGGGATGTGTGCCTTTAAGTTATTTTTAACCTGCTGGGCTGAGCATGGAAGTTTCTGCCTTAAAGGTGCAGTTTGCAGGGACTTTGGGGAGCTGTGTCCAGCCTGGCCATGTGCCTTGGAGCCCCGTGGGGTTTAGGGAACAATCAGCCCAGCACCTGATAGTTTGGGGGTTTTGGGGTTTTTATTACTTTGCACTAGTCATCTCCTGCTGTGGGCTGAGGGGCTGGGGAGGGGGGGTGGAAGGACAAACTGTTGTCACAGGAGCTGTCACCCTGACTTCCCCAGCCCACTGATGCTATGAGAGGGGATTGTCCTGCTGTGACCAAAGGGCTGCAGGTCCTGTGTGACCCTGGTGTGAGGGTGGGGTGTGGGCACTGCCCTCAGCACTGTTTCCCT